CAAAACCATCGTCTCAGCTAAACACCTGCCTTAATTTTGGTTACAGAGAGACAGAGCAAATAATGGAACTAAACAGCTTTTGTTAATTCTCAGAAATAATTTTGCAGTCAGATTTTTGTTAATAAAAATCAGAAGGAAGAAGAATCCAACTATTTTTCTATAGAAAACTTACTGAGAACAGAGTCAAATTTAACCAAGTAGTCCTTAAAATTACAAGTCCAGTTTCTTACTAATCTTTTAGGGACAAAAAAAAAAAAATCACATGCATGAACTGAACTGTATCCAGCTATTTCAGTAAACAGCAAATACCATTTTATATAAACAGCATACATCACTTTTTTATACATGTATGGAGTTTGCCCAGAGAAGCTGTGGCTGCCCCAGCCCTGGAAGTGTCCAAGGCCAGGTTGGATGGGGCTTGGAGCAACCTGGGCTGGTGGAAGGTGTCCCTGCCCATGGCAGGGGGTGGCACTGGATGGGCTTTAAGGTCCCTTCCAACCCAAACAACTCTGGGATTCCAAGTTTGTGGGGGGAAAAATGAAATAAAAATGGGGCTTCAGAAGATTTGCACACAATTTTGGAAAACCCTCTAAGGTACCTTGGGTACTTAAAAACCTGGACAGACTGTGGAGCCTTTCTGAGGGTCCCTGCACAAGGAACAGCCCCCAACAGCAGCATCACTTCTTGGTTCCATCACAAACTGTGCAGTCACTGTAGACATGGCCCTGGAAATCTGAATCTATGAATTATGAGTAAAGGGACACATGTACTTTTCAAGTGTCAGCACACAAAAAATGTGCCAACAAATGGAGCATCTGGCAAAACGCTTTGTAGGAGGAGGTGGAGGGAGCTGGCATTTTAGTTGACTAAAGCACAAAGAGCAGCTTCAGATGATTAATAAATATTAATTAAATTCTTAAAACAAGCAGACACTCTGGGGCAAGTTGTAAATGCTCACATTTGAGAAGCTGTCACTGACATACTTAAGTTTTATTTTCATGATAATATAACATTATTTACCTATTTGATTCCAGAGGGGGGTTAATTCTTGGTGCAACAGCCCTCTGCTTTGCTGTATCCATTTGTAGGTGTCAGAACTAGAGCTGCCCCTTATAGGTGTTCCTGCATTTGTACTCTTCAGTATCACTGAGTTTATTCAGCTGAGGAACTAATTTTCTCTAGTGCTCTGCAGAGTTTAGCCAGTCCCAGGCATCAGTGCCCAACATTTGCTCAAACAGGCCATGTCACCATATTTTAGTCAAGACAAGGCTTTGTGCCAGTTGAGGATGACTTTTGGGGGGAGTTAACCAACAGGCTGAAACAATTTCCAGGGCCATTTCCAAGGAAAGAATACAGAGCAGGCGGGCTCCTAATGACTAAACTAGTGATCTTCAGCTCTCTAGGCCTGGCATTTTCCTGTTTCAACAAAGAGAAGAATCCCTAGTCCTCTGGAAAGTTCTGCTGAACTATGATTGCCATGTAAAGATACTAACAAGCTTTTTAGGCAAGCAGAACAGGATCACTGGGCTTCTGGCAGCTTATTTCTCTTGCACTGCACGTGCTGCCTCATGGCTGCTTTACAGCAGACTTAGCAAATCCACCCGTACAGTGACCTGAGGCACAAGTTTATCAGATTAGGCAGGTACAAAACTGTCTAAATTGTCTCATTAAAATGTCTGACCACTGCTTCGACTGCACTGTTTTCATTGGTACACAATCAAAACATCACATTGTGCAGAACTTAAAGTTTACTAAAGCCTAAGGTTCATTTTAATCGAGTACAAACTGTGTGTTTGGATTCCTAGCTGGCTTTGGACATTTCCAGCTTCTCCTTTTGCTTTTTGCTCTTCTCATAGTTTGATAAAAATCAATTAATGTTGCTTTATTTTCAGCTGGGAATTCTTTAGCTTTGTGTAACTTTATGACTCCATAAATGTTATTAAAGACTTTTTGTCAGTTCTGCTTTTAAATATTATATATTTATATAGATAATGTTTTTCTGTCTCTTAAGCATGATGCAGTACCACTGCAAATCAACCACAAAAGCAGGGTCAAAGCCTTTGGTAGACCTTTGGTAGACAGCAGCAGTGTTACAGTTGTGAGAGAACTGTACACATTTAGCTGTTTAATGAGAACCCAGAGCAGCAGCCCACTGTGATCCCTGTCCTCTTTCATCATCTCTACTTCCAACAGTCTCTCTTTTCCCGTTTGTTCCACTGTTGCTTAAAATTGCCAGTAAAGGATAAGATGGAAATGCAGTGAAACGTTAGGTAAAGGCAGCAGAGTAGTATGAAAATTCCAATTCACAAGACAGCTCTGAAACTGAAGAATTGTATCAGGTGTTACTCGCAGGTCAGTCAATGGACATGCAATGCAAAAGCCAGGAAAATAGTGTAGAACCTCTTTTTAGCCACAGGATTTAAAAGAAAAGAAAAATCACCACTTAAACTAGATCTAGCTACAAAAAGGAAAAGCTCTGGTTTGTGAGACGGCTCATTTTCTACACCCATGGGCCAGCAGTGCCCAGGCAGCTGCAAAGCCCTCATCCAGCAACCGTCTGGTTTGGGTTAACTCATTTTAAAACCACCAGCAAATATCAGTTTGTCAGAAAACAGAAAGTAAGAAGAAATCCTTTCATACCTTTTAGAACTGTTAAAGAAAAAAGAAAGTAAGAAGAAATCCTTTCATACCTTTTAGAACTGTTAAAGAGCTACCAAATGTTAGGCCAATTAGTGATAGAAAAGCACTGATTAATGTACACATACCTTCTAAGAAACACTGGAGCTGCTGTGGGCATGCAGAACCACTGTCGAGTTTATGTGCAATAAAACTGTCCAGAACGGCCAGACCAGGCAAAGGAAATGAGGAAATGTGAAGAAATTAAGCAGGTCTAAAGTAGCCAACCCTTACAGGCATTTTACCATTTTCTTTTTCTAAGGAACAAAACAGTCAAGCTCTGTAACACAGGGAACTCTTTGGGGGAAGAACTGAAGAGCTCCAAGGAATTTCACTGAAGTGGCCAGAGAACAAGAGTTGCAGGTGGCTGTATCTCCCTCATGTTCCTGAGATAGGATTAAGCCCAGCAAAAACTCCAGAGTGGAGAGAAAATGGAGGAAATGCGTATGTTTTTATGTGCTTTTCACATTCTCAAACAATAACAAGCTACCCAAGATCAGGAGTAAAAAATGTTCACGAATTGCTCTGTTTTCTTGAAAAACACAACCACCAAGTAATTTGGCTTTTGTTGTATATTTGATTGAGCAATTCTGGAGTCTGAACCTTGTTTCACAAAGAAACAAAAAATCTGTGCCTAGGAAATATGGCTGGGAAACCTGGTCTAGAGGAAGGTGTCCCTGCCCATGGGTTGGAATGAGGTGATCTTTAAGCTCCCAAACCCAAACCGTTCTATGATTCTGTTGCCAGAAACTGGGAATATATTTGTCAGTTGATACTAGAAAATACAAGCAACCTTGTACCTTATCTGAGCTTGCAATCCATTGTTTTTATATTATTTGTAGCACATTCTTACCCAGCAACTACCTTCATCCATGTCAGATTTCACAGTTTCAAGACAACTCCTCCCATTTATAATTTTACTACTATTACATTAAAAAAAAACCCCACTCATAACGGTAGCATTGGATTTTTCAGTGAAGTAAAATATTTACTCAAACATGTGCAAGAATTGCTATTCAGGTCGGTTTATGCATCCACCCAAGCAAGCACACCATGAGAGAGGATTACATTGCTAATTATATCTCTGAGGTGATACTCTCACAGCAGCTGGCCCTGAAGACTGTCTTATCTCTTACTTCCTACGTTATTCTTATTTATTATATCTTATTTCATCTTGTCTTACCCATGCAGTTACAGTGTATGTTTCACATAAACTACTGACGAAAACAAGCATGGAAAAATCATGGAATCACAAGATGGTTTGTGTTGGGAAGGACCTCAAAGCCCATCCAGTCACGCCCCCTGCCCTGGGCAGCAACACCTTCCACTATCCCAGGTTGCTCCAAGCCCAGTCCGACCTGGCCTTGGTTGGGATGGGGTAGCCACCACCTGAATCACAACCTAAAAACGCTTTCGAGCAATACAAAATTGCAAACATCTATTTTGTGCACATTCTTTCGGGATTAATTACTCCACGGACGTGGAGCTCGGTTTCACTGAGTAGGTGCAGGACTGCCGAAAACACGTCCCCGTCTAAGAAAAGCAAAAGAAATGGAGCTGTGCAAAGGGAAAACTCTGAGATCTAGATTATTAAGATATCAGGTAATTTTTTTTATCTGTTACTCCACTGAAGACTATAGTGACAGTCTGTTGCCAAAAGCAGTAATAACTACACCTAAAAGTTACTCTCCTGTTTGGATTGACGTATGTGTGCCTGCCTTCTCCCCTCCAAAGGGGACTGACTGAGCTGCGTTTTTCAGGGTAATTAAGTGATGATCAGAGCCGGGTACAACCCACAAAACCCGAAAACACTGCAGAGAACCGGGAAATCCGCTCCCCCCGCGCCTGCCCCGCTGCCGGTCACGGTCCTCCCGCTCCCTGACAGCCGCGGGCCTTGGCGAAGCTGAAATCACACCCATCATTTATTATACCGAAAGCATTTTCAGGCTGCGATTCAGGCGGTAGCTGCCCCATCCCTGGAGGTGTCCAAGGCCAGGCTGGAGCAAGCCGGGATAGCGGACAGCCCACGGCAGGGGGTGGGAGCGGGCGGGTCCCTGCCCACCCAAACCCCTGCGGGCCGCTGTGATTTCCCGGCTCCCTGAAGGGCCGGGTCCCCGCGCAGCCCCTCGGGGCCGCTCTGTGGCGCGGCGGGTGCCGGGCTGTGCCCGGGGGAGCTCCGGGGGGGCAGAGCGGGCTCGACCCCGAATGGCGGCGAGCGCGGGGCCCCGCCCGGCCGCAGTGCCGGCGGAGGGCGCGGGCTGGGGCGGGATGGCCGGGCCGGGCCGGGCGGGGGGCGCGGAGCGGGGCGGGGGGCGCGGACCCACCTCGTGCTGGGCCCGCCCGGGCCGCTCCGCCGGCAGCGCCGCGGGACGGGCAGAGCACGGGCAGGGCACGGGCAGGGCACAGGCAGCGAGCACGGGCAGCGAGCATGCGCCGGCAGCGCCGAGGGGAGGAGGGAGCGGCGGAGGAGGAGGTGGGAGCGGGCCCTGGGCTCGGGCGGCTGAGGGCGGATCGTCCGCGGCTGGAGCCGCCGAGCCCGCGCTGCCCGGAGCGACCGCGGCCTCAGGGGCCTGGGGCGGGTGTGAGTGGGGGGGTGTGGGGGTGTATGTGGGGGTGGGGGTGTGGGCGGGGGGTCATGTGTGTGTTTGTGTGTTTGTGTTTATGTGTTTGTGTTTATGTGTTTGTGTTTATGTGTTTGTGTTTATGTGTTTGTGTTCATGTGTTTGTGTTCATGTGTGTGTGTTCATGTGTGTGTGTTCATGTGTGTGTGTTCATGTGTGTGTGTTCATGTGTGTGTGTTCATGTGTGTGTGTTCATGTGTGTGTGTGTGTCAATATTTTTACTGACGTGGCTTGATGTTTTTTAGGGTAATCTTTCTTCTTAGTGGTTAAAGGTTGGGAATTCAATGAAAAATGTCCAAATGTTTTCCAGGTAAACGGTGCCTGCAGGTGGAGGGTGTTGTCACACCGAAACCCCGAAGGTCTCACTTCATCCTGCTGTGCTGTTGGTGTGTTACCAAGGGTTCTGCTGAGGAGGTGCCAGACACACCAGGCAGGGCTTTGAGAGGCTTAGCTCAAGTTTTTTGACAGACATGAAAGGTATTTAGGTCTTGGACACAGACTAGAATGGGTTCGTAATGGTTTATTTTAACACTGGAGTTGAATACACAGTCGCTGATTAAAGGAGAAGTGAGAGCCCTGAACCTCTGTGGTGCAGTAGAGTGCTGGCCTGAAACATCTGTCTGAGGGTCATCAGGATGTTTTTGGAGTGAGTGTCCTGGTAACACACTTGGGAAGTTAAGCTGCGGTTTTGAAGGTACTCACAGATTTTTGGCAGTACACTGTGTCTGTCTCATTAGCCACATTAGTACATTAGCACCTAGAATCCGTGTCTCTAGTACATCATATAATTGCATAAACACTAGCAGGGTTTACATTCTTTTAACTTGCATTTTTTTAAAAGTAAAGACAGATTTGGGAACTTGTTGGAAATCATGAAAAGAACGCTGTTGCTGCTCCTTTCTGCTGAGCTGAAGGAGCTGTCAGCATAGGAGACGGGGCTTCCTTCTTCAAACGTGTCAGTCCCGTTAGTACTGAACTGTCTTAAACATGTCTTGGTTTTTGGCAGCGTTAGCAAACCATATTCCTACAATAATACTGATTTCTAAACCGAAAAAACCAATGACTGTCTCTAAAAGACTTGGATGGGGTTTCCCTTCCTGTGTCTGCCTGTCAGAAACCGTTACTAAAATTCACCAGTTCCATTTTTTAGATGAACTCCAGGACACACATTAAGTGTCGCATCCCCCCGAGTGTGATTTGTGCCTTCGCCGTCCATTATCATTCCTGTGTGTTCAGGGTTTGGCTGGCTCAGGGCTGGAACGCTGAGCACAGGCTGTGATCACGCCATGTGATCTGCTCCCAAAATTTGTGTTTATTGTTACATGATTACGCACATAAACACTCTTTTGAACGCTTCAGAAAGAATTTATGGAATTCATAGGAGAAAGCACAAAGCTTTCTTTGTTGTGTTGTAAAGATACAACCACAGATGCATGAAAATAAATGCTGGCTTTGCTCTTTTTTGTCTGAAATAAGGGAAAATATGATGTTTTCACCACACTGTGTCCTTGCTCTGGCCCGTGGTGCAGCTGCACAAACACTTGTGCCTGTACGGTGGTGCAGAGAGGGGCAAGGCTGCTTCTCTCTCCATGCCTCAGCAGGCTGAGCATGGACAACCCCTCAGGACTGTGGCACAGAGAAAGCCATGTTCCTAGAATGCTCAGAAATGCCATATTTTGAATTATATGGGGTTTTTTAGTTCAGGGAACGAACCAGCAGAAAACTCTGGCTCATCATGAGGTACAGGCTCCCAGGTACATCAGCAAGAGGACTCTTGCTTAGAAAGAGTAGCTCTATAAGGGGTGAAAAGGGGGAAAAGGAGACTTTTTTCTCTCCCAGGAATAAGTGTGAGTTCAGGTTCGGTGATGAGACTCTCTAGTGCTGTAGGGCCGAGTTGGAACCTGACATAAAGGAGTAACTCCAGGGAAGCTGAACCTGCCGCCCCCAGGTCTGTTCAGACCTTGCAGACCTTTCCTGACTGGATCTTATTTTCCATCAGCATATGCCACCGTGTGGCAAAGGAACACGATGCAGCTGCTCCTTTTTCAACTCTGAATCACTTGTTTCTTTTAAGGTCCTGTCCTTTTTCTATATCCCTTGGTTTGCTGGGGGCGGAGGGACAGGATAAGTTTCAACTCCAACGTTCCTGTGCTTGGAATCCTGCCTGTGCAGCGTGGTGGGGTTTTGCAGGGTGATGTTGGGCCAGCACAAAGTGCATTTCTCCATTCCAAGCGAGCAGGTAACTGAAGAATAACTGTAAGGGGAAAATCTGTGAAGTAAGGTATGAAACCTTTAAACTTTTGCCTTCATTTTTGCATCCAAATTGCTCGTGGTCCTTATCTCCCTTGCACAACCACTGGATTTTGTGGAGCTTTAGGGGGAGAGGGACTTTTTATGTGTGCACATAGTGACAGGACAAGGGGAAATGGTTCTAAACTGAGAGAGGGCAGATGTAGATTAGATATGAGGAAGAAATTCTTGGCTGTGAGGGTTGCTCAGAGAAGCTGTGGCTGCCCCATCCCTGGAAGTGTCCAAGGCCAGATTGGAGCAACCTGGGCTAGTGGAAGGTGTCCCTGCCTATGATGGGGGGGAGGAAGTTAAATGATCTTTAAAATCCCTTCCAACCCAAATCATTCTGTGATTCTATTATTTGAATGCTTTATTCCTCTTTTTGTTCCCTGCCACCCCACTTGCTCCCTGGGGACAGCAGTGTTCTCTTCCAACATAAACACAGCGTTTACAAAGATGATTCAGGTTTTCACTGGGAGCCTTTCATTTGCACTGTTTATGCAGGCATGTTGTGCACTGTACAATATCTCTCTTGTTTGCCATAAACATCAGCATGATGGGAAGGCAGCAAAATACTCCAAGGGATAATCAGCAGATGGAAGGAAACAATGCCAGCAGTGAGAGAACATAGCTGGAGAGGCTGCTCCTGGGGCAAGACACGTCCTCAGTGGAATGGGGCAGTGCTGTTGGAAGTGTGGAGAGAGGATCCTGAGTGCAAGTTTGTGTGTGGAGTCACTGGAGCTGATGGATCTTCTAGATCCTGAGTATTATTCTGCTGGAACTCTCTCCTTTTCCTGGGAAAGATAAGTGGTGCCTACTGCCACAGGTTTCTAAGAGGTTTAGCCCAGGCAGTGTGTTGGTGGTACAGCAGCGTGAGGATGGAAACCCTCACTGCCCACTGGGTGTAGTTTCAGAGCAGGACAAGTGACCATTTCATATGCTTTCATTGGGGTTTGTGTGGATTTGGTTGCTATTTCTCCTAAAAACATGCTAGTGTATCTCTGTCATGTTACCAGTCTTCTGTAGAATTTTCTTTTTCTCATTACCTTTTTTTTTAATTCTCTTCTTTTTTAATGGGCCTTTGTGTTGAGTTTCCTTCTCACCTCTCTGGGTTTTATGTGCTTCACATTTAATGCCAAGACCTTAAAACTGTGCTTTGGCCTTTACAGCTCTGATAGCCTGCTAAGGCAAGTGAGAAGTTGTTCAAAGTGGGTTTGTTATCACAAAAGGGTAGATGTTTCTGTAGTTTACCCTCCCCACACTTGTCATTAAAGCATTTTTAATGATTAAGAGCTAATAATCACCCCCCATTTTAAAACAGCATAGGCAAACTAATGGGAAAATATCTGAATGTCTTCAGCTTTGAGTAGCTCTACTTGAAAATAATGATTAAGAAATTAGATAGCCAAAGTCAGCAGCTTTGACTGTGGTGAATTCTTTCCCAGAGGAGGGAATTCAGGAGTTTTGAGACCCTCTTCTCCACCCTGTGAGTGGTGTGTGTTCTTCCAGAAAGATAATAACACAGTGACGTTGTGGTAGATGAAGGTGTCATTTACTGCATTTATTTCAGAAATCTGCTTTCACCACTCACCTGTGTGTAATGTTCTTGCTTTCTAAAACAGATGCTTAAACATTTTCCGCTTTGTAAAGCCTGTGACGGTTGAAGTTATTTACAGCTCTACAACTTCAAATTAATATGAGCCACAATGGAGGAAAATAGATTTTATTGGGATAAAATGGCAACTATAAGTTTGCAGGGAGCTAACTTAAACCATACACTCTTACCAGTCAGCCTTGAGCATTTGTAAAAATATCTTAAGTGAGACGTAGTTCATTCTGGTTGAGATTTTAATGGTAATTTTTCTTGTGGTTTAACCTTTTCAGTCTACAGTTTGTTTGTTTTTTGTTTTTTTTTATTAATTGAAAGGTTTTTTTCAGTGACTTCTGCATTAGATTGGACTGGGTTTTCTGACCTAGAGGTAATAAATGCCAGATTCCTTATAATGCTCAGTGAAAATTTAGAATCATATTGTACAAAATGTGTTCAGGTTCTTAAGAGCTGCTAAGGCCCTTGGTGTGCATTAAAGCAGCTGGTTTGCTGCCAGAATGGGTATTATCTCTATCTCAGATTAGAAATGATTATTAACTAAACAACAGTTTTCTTTCCATCAGTTCAGCAGAATGGAATGGCGCCTTCCTCGAGGAGATGTTGAAAGAGGAGGGGCTGAAGAAGTGAGTTTTATTTTTGGGGGGTTGAAGAAGTGAGTTTTAATTTTTTGGGGGGGTTTTATTTGTTGGGAAAGAAAAGAAAAGAACAAGGCCAAAGAAATATGAATTACTTTTTAACAAAACACGTGGAAAGAGCAAGGAGCAGAGTGAGGCAGTGTGAATCCTCTGGTTGCCAAAACAACCCCACCTGCCACAGGATTGCTGTAGGAAGGACATCAGGGAGGCTCAGCTGCAGAAGGGAAGGCTTGGGGGCTCTGACCATTAAGGCACT